TCTGTTGCTTCAGGCTTGCTTCCCCTATATCACTTTTAGAATTTATTTAGATTTCCTTTCTAACCTTCCTTATTGTTCTGAAAGTACAGGATGTGACAGCTCAGTTACTAGAATGGGACCTTATTATTTCCGTGACTAGAATATAAATATCCAAGCTGCTCTAGGCCTGTAGGGATGCTCAACGGAGACAATACTCTCAGGTAACAGGGGCTTTGCTCTTTGAAACCCACCTGTGGTCACCCTGGTAGTTTGACAAGAATCTTGACCCTGGCTGGTTGCTAGCTAAGTACCAAAACTTGCATGTAGGCCATGGACCAAGGAATAGAGTCATGCAGATGTAGCCGCCACTGTACAACACATCCTCTTCTTGGTCCTTGATGCCTTAGGGACCCTGGCACCAGAGGAAGTCTTAAAAATAGCCCAAGTCTGAATTATCTAAGAATAAACAGAAAGGACCTTTGTTTGACTAAAATGGAGAGACTTTTTTTAGATAGGCCTCTCTATGTAGCCCAGGTTGGCCTTGAACTAAAGATCTTTCTGCCCCAGTCTCTTAAGTGCTGGGATTACAGGCATGCACCACTATTCTGGTTAGTGGAGAGGATTTTTATAAAAGCAGATGCATGGTTTATGTCTTTAAGGCGGCGGTCAAGGGGCTAGAGAAATGGCTCAGTGGTTAAGAACACTGGCTGCTCTTGCAGAGGATCCAGGTCCATTTCCCAGCACCCCCATGGCAACTAAAAACCATCTGTAACTCCAGTTCCAGGGGATCTGACACCCTCTTCTGGTCTCCATGGACATTACATGACATGAAAACATACATGCAGGCAAAACACTCACAGACATAAAAATAAATAAATAAATTTTTTTCAGAAAAGCAGTAGTCAATGGTGGAGAAGGGGATCAGGGGAAGGGTGGGGGGAAGGTAAGAAGGACAATGGGTATGGCTGTATCAAAGTATGTTACATGCATTGTGAGGCCGTCACAAATCTGTTCTTTTGTGATATTCATATGTGTTAATAAAAAGAAGTAGCAATCAATTCTCATAAATCTTTAAAAATTTTTAAAATTGCATTTATTTGTGTGCATGTATGTATGTATGTATATATTTAAGTATGTGGGTTTGTGTCACAGCATGTGTGAAGAGGTCAGAGAGCAGCTTGCGGGGGTCAGTTCCTTCCTCCCACCATGTGGATCCTAGGAATAGAATCAGGTCATCAGGCTTGGCAGCAAGTAACTTTGCCCACTGAGCCATCTTGGCAGGCTAATTTTCAGAAAGCTAATATGTGCTTTTTTTCTTTTCTGTAGTATAAAAGTTGGGTAACCTTAGATGCTGCATGTAAATGTATAGCTCTGCCATTTGTTTCCATCTGGGCCCCCTGGTTTCTACTGTCCCTCCCCTCTCAGTTTTGACCTCATCCTCTCTCTGCTCTTATTTCCTGAGTCTTCTCTCTTGAAGGAAATCACAGGATGCACCTAAGAGAAACATAACTACTTCAGTGACTCTCCTTTTTTAAAAAAAATTATTAATTTTATTTTAGTTTATGTGTATGAGTGTATTGCTTGCATGTAGAGGGTGTCAGATCCCCTGGAACTGGAATTATGGATGGTTGTTAGGCACCATGAGGATGCTGGGAATTGAACCAGGAACCTCTGGAAGAACAGCATGTGTTCTTAACCGCTGAGCCATCTCTCAGTCCCATTAAAAATTTTTTTTATTATTTTTATTTTCTATGTATCAGTGTATTGCCTGCATGTATGTGAGTGCACCCGTGTCGTGCAATGCCGGGAGGTCAGAAGAGGGCTTCAGATTCCCCTGGAACTGGACTTAAGGACAGTTCGTAGCTGCCATGTGGGTGCTGGGAATCGAACACGGGTCCTCTGCAAGAGCAGTCAGTGCTCTTAACCACTGAGCCATCTCTCCAGCCCCTTGTTTTTATTTTTTTAAAAAAGACAGGATCTCATTGTATCCCTGGTTGTCCAGGAATTCAAAGAGATCTTTCTGTCTCTGCCTTGAAGCAAATTACAGAAAAATTGACTTGTCAGAGGAATTCTGAGCATGGTTGTGCAGATGGAAACTGTTTTTGATCATGACCTTTAAAAAAGTCACTTGAGTCTCAAGAAGCTTGAATTGATTCTGTGACCTTGCTTTGTGACCTTGGACACATCTCTCTTTAGAAAAGTTATTTATTTATTCGTACTTTATGTGTATGAATGTTCACCTGCATGTATGTAAGTGCATCATGCGCATGCAATGCCCTCAGAGATTAGAAAAGGGAGTTGGATCCCCTGGAACTGGAGTTACAGTTGTTAGTTGCCATGTGGGTGCTGGGAACTGACCTGGGCCCTCTGCAAGGCAGAGGTAGGTGGATCACTGTGAGATCAAGGCCAGCCTGGTCTACATACAAATTCCAGGCAAATTGGGGCTACAGGAAGACCATGTCTCAGGAAAGAAAAAAATGGTTTAAAGCCAGTCTTGGCTACAATAGGGAGTATGAAGCCATCCTGGGCTACATGAGACCGTGTATAAAATAAGATAAAAAGGGGGAGGAGGACAGAGAGTCTGAGTGCCTCTGGCTGCATTAGCCAAGAATATGCCTAGCCTGGCCTGGTAGAACCCATGGTGGGCTGGCCTGTTGTTTCTACAGCAGGAGACTTTCCTCCTTTCATTTAACTTGAAGTGAAATCATCAGAAAAACAAACAAAACCAAAAGACTCGCCCTATTCAATAAGAATGCTATTTCAAAGATGGGAAACAAAGCTCCCTCTCTAAAGAAACACCCAGTGAAATCCTTCCGGTCAGCATGGGACTTGATCCATGTGCTTTGCTGGGTGTCATTTCCCCCAGACTTCTCGTACTGAAAATCAGCATCCATTGCGTGTCTAGAACAAGGGAAACCAGACCTTGCTTCTCAGCTCGTCTCCTTTCCCAGTTCCCTTCTAACCCTGTGGAGGGTTAGAGAGAGTTTAATTACATGAGCATGTCAGATCCCTGCCCAAAGTTCTTGCATTTAGAATAACATCCAGACCCCACAGCTTTCATCACGGGCCCTCCAGGGTCTGGCCTGAGCCCATTCCTCCCACTTACACCATACCACCTCCTGTGTTGTTGCAGACATCAGTGTGATTCCTCAAATCAGGGTCTTTGGGGATTTGGGAGTGTGAAGGACATCAGGTAACTAAGTTAATTTCATTGAAATTCTGAGGTCAAAGCACAGTCCCATCTCAAATCCCCTCTCTTCCTCTATTTATTCTCTTTTATTCCCAATTCATTCATTCCTAAATTCCCACTTCCAAATTTTATCCCAATTCCTCTCCACAGGCAATCACTGCAAAATGTCTCGAGTGTACTTTCTTTCTCTTTGTGTTCTAGCAGAATGTGGATGGAATCTTGTGGGTATATATTTTAAATATGTATGAGCTAGTTTA